TGTTAGCTTGCAGAGTGTTACAGTATTCGCTTGTAAAGTGTCCCAGTGTTAGCTTGCAGAGTATCCCAGTGTTAGCTTGCAGAGTGTTACAGTATTCGCTTGTAAGGTGTCCCAGTGTTAGCTTGCAGAATATCTTAGTGTTAGCTTGTAGAGTGTCACAGTGTTAGCTTGTAGAGTGTTACAGTATTCGCTTTTAAAGTGTCCCAGTGTTAGTTTGTAGAGTGTCACAGTGTTAGCTTGTAGAGTGTCACAGTGTTTGCTTGTAGAGTGTTACAGTGTTTGCTTGTAGAGTGTCACAGTGTTTGCTTGTAGAGTGTCCCAATGTTTGCCCGTAGAGTATCCCCAATTTTAGCCCGTGGAGTGTCCTAGTGTTAGCTTGAAGAAAGTCCCAGTGGTAGCTTGATGAGTGTCCCCAGTGGTAGCTTGATAAGTGTCCCCAGTGGTAGCTTGATGAGTGTCCCCAGTGTTAGCTTGAAGAAAGTCGCAGTGGTAGCTTGAAGAGTGGCTCCAGTGTTAGCTTGAAGAAAGTCCCAGTGGTAGCTTGATGAGTGTCCCCAGTGGTAGCTTGATGAGTGTCCCCAGTGTTAGCTTGAAGAAAGTCCCAGTGGTAGCTTGAAGAGTGTCCCCAGTGGTAGCTTGATGAGTGTCCCCAGTGGTAGCTTGATGAGTGTCCCCAGTGGTAGCTTGATGAGTGTCCCCAGTGGTAGCTTGATGAGTGTCCCCAGTGGTAGCTTGATGAGTGTCCCCAGTGGTAGCTTGAAGAGTGTCCCCAGTGGTAGCTTGATGAGTGTCCCCAGTGGTAGCTTGATGAGTGTCCCCAGTGGTAGCTTGAAGAAAGTCCCAGTGGTAGCTTGATGAGTGTCCCCAGTGGTAGCTTGATGAGTGTCCCCAGTGGTAGCTTGATGAGTGTCCCCAGTGGTAGCTTGATGAGTGTCCCCAGTGGTAGCTTGAAGAAAGTCCCAGTGGTAGCTTGATGAGTGTCCCCAGTGGTAGCTTGATAAGTGTCCCCAGTGGTAGCTTGATAAGTGTCCCCAGTGGTAGCTTGAAGAAAGTCCCAGTGGTAGCTTGATGAGTGTCCCCAGTGGTAGCTTGATGAGTGTCCCCAGTGGTAGCTTGAAGAAAGTCCCAGTGGTAGCTTGATAAGTGTCCCCAGTGGTAGCTTGATGAGTGTCCCCAGTGGTAGCTTGATGAGTGTCCCCAGTGGTAGCTTGAAGAAAGTCCCAGTGGTAGCTTGAAGAAAGTCCCAGTGGTAGCTTGATGAGTGTCCCCAGTGGTAGCTTGATGAGTGTCCCCAGTGGTAGCTTGATGAGTGTCCCCAGTGGTAGCTTGATGAGTGTCCCCAGTGGTAGCTTGATGAGTGTCCCCAGTGGTAGCTTGAAGAAAGTCCCAGTGGTAGCTTGATGAGTGTCCCCAGTGGTAGCTTGATGAGTGTCCCCAGTGGTAGCTTGATGAGTGTCCCCAGTGGTAGCTTGATGAGTGTCCCCAGTGGTAGCTTGAAGAAAGTCCCAGTGGTAGCTTGATGAGTGTCCCCAGTGGTAGCTTGATGAGTGTCCCCAGTGGTAGCTTGATGAGTGTCCCCAGTGGTAGCTTGAAGAAAGTCCCAGTGGTAGCTTGAAGAGTGGCTCCAGTGTAGACTGTCTCGCGCACTGCTGGGTCACACTTCGTGGTGTGGTTCCTGCTGTAGGTTGTTGAGGTGCAGGTTGAGAATGGCATACGGTGAGGGGCTGGCATTGTGGTGGATCTCCACACGGTGGATCCGCTCACTGTCGTTGTCGTAGTTACTGATGACGTCATCGGGCAGCCGGTCATCTTTGTCGATGATGTTGGGCAGCCAGATGTTCTTCCTGCAGGTTTGGACAGAACAAGAGAGCATCAACACTTCAGACTGCACCAAGGTTACCACAGTCTGAAGCTACTCAGAGAATTGATAAAAAGCTATACATGACATAAGACACCACTCAGTCCAGACTGTACTTTTCTAAGGCAAAATAAGACCAGTTCTTTAAAAAAAATGTATGTAGTATTGTGTCTAAAGTTTAGATTCCAGATCCTTTTCCTCCTATTTTTTTAACTCCTATTCTGGTCTAATTTATGTCAGGTAGGGCTGTTCCGAATATTCGCTTAGTATTCGCTTCGGGACCGAATAGACCTAATAACTATTCGGTATTCGGCCGAATAGTTGCGGTCGGGCCGAATACGAATAGTGGCTACCTTACACTCGTTTCCGGCCTGGTTGAAAATAAACATATCTAGATTTCCCACCTTGTTTCATACTGTCAAGTGTTATCTTTGTGCACTACCTACGAGCGTACCAAGTGAACGTCTGTTCAGTACAGCTGGAAATACCTTCAGTGAGACAAGAAGCTGCCTTAATGCTGACAACATGGAACGATTTTTTTTTTTTTAAGCTTATTGATTAACTTAGCTGTCAGTGACAATTTACAAGTTTAGTTACTTGTTATAAAACTAAGAATACTTTAATTCCTAGGTATTAGTTATCACAGACTGACTGACTGAAGGATGCATAACATGAAATGTTTTTAAATGTTAACTATTCTGTACTACATTTTGTGAAGTAAAATTTCAGCGTACATTTGACATTATGGATGTTTTTGTTTTTTGTTTTTATATCTATTTTATACACGAAAGTGGATTAATGGGCCTCAGTTTGAAAAGTGGGAAGACAGAAGTAATGGTGGTATCAAAAATAATAATTATTCATAAATGTGTAATAAAAGTCAATGGTTTTATTTTGGGACACAGAAATTTAAGTATCTGGACACATGGATAACATCGGATGGAAGATGCATTACTGAAATAAGAAACAGAATAGGACAGGCAGAAACTACATTTTATAAAATTAAGAACATCTTTTGCAATATATTTTTGTCATTGAGGGTTAGAAAAATAATTCTTGCTTGCTACATACATCCAGTTTTAACATATGGCTGTGAGTTCTGGACAATCGGTAGGCAGGCCAAACAATTTCTTGAAGCCTCAGAGATGTGGTTTTACAGAAAAATGCTTTGAATACCTTGGACAGGCATTAAAAAGCAACAAAGAGGTTTTGAAAGAGGCAGGAGCCCGAAGACAACTTATCACAGACATCAGAAGGAGACAGTCATCATTTTTCGGCCATGTTATAAGATAAGGGAAAATGGAACATGTGGTGACCACTGGAAATATATGGGGAAAAAGGGATAAAGGAAGACAACGAGAGAAGATTCTTGACAGTCTTGTTGCATGGCATGGAGGTGTGTCGGCACACGAACTGATACATGCTGCAGGAGATCGCAGATTGTGGCTAGGCATAATCGCCCATGCCAGTCGGCAAAGCACCTGATGATGATGATTCACTATTCGTAATCGTTTTCGGCCGAATAGTTGGTCCGGCTATTAGTATTCGGCCGAATAGTGAAAATCACTATTCGGTACAGCCCTAATGTCAGGTATCACAAATGTTTGTTTCAGACTGTCCATTTGGTTTCGCTCCATTGACACTAGACATAGATCATAGAAAGAAGATAAACAAACTAAATGAAATAACAGCGATAGAAACGAACCAAATGAACCAAAAACACAAACGAACTAATTGTAGGAAACAACTGCAACACAAGTAAACTAATTTTAGGAAACAACGCAGGTGAACTAATTTTAGGAAACAACGGCACTAGTAATAAGTTTACAAAACCATATCAAGTGAACTAACTGTATAAAACAATAACGAGAACAGCTAATTGTATGAAACAACATAAATGCATTAATTGTATGACGTAACAACTCCAATGGACTGACTGTATGAACCAGTCAGGAGTCAGCAGTAATGTCTTCTGTGGTACGCAAGACAAACAGATTTCAAGAGAACTATTCAGTTATCTCACAGACACGGCCCGGCGTCGGGCCACATAAACTGGAGGATTGATCACAACGTATCTTCATTTTCACTTGATGGCGATGGTGGTTATGATGATGATTGTGCAGGTGATGTTAAACGTCACAGAAACAGTCACACCAATAGACTGACACCTCCAGCCCTGGCCAATCTGTGGCCATCTGTTGTGGATTACTGGTAGTTTTTGCCTCCACTAGGATACAGAGACGGGAGACATGCTGACTGCATACGTCACCGTCTGCCTCCATGCATTTGCATTCTGGAGAAATATTTCTTTTACTCTTTTCCCTCTGATTTGTTTGTTTTCCATTTCAAATGATTATTTATTATTTGATTTTGCAGCTTATGTGTTTACAGAATATATGTCTGCCCCATTATAAACAACGTTACCTTATTAAAAGTTAGGTTACACAATGGTTTGTCAAACATATACAGACGCAATGGTTTGTCCAACATACACCGACACAATAGTTTGTCCAATATGCAGTGGCACAATGGTTTGTCCAACATATACAGACGCAATGGTTTGTCCAACATACAGTGACGCAATGGTTTGTCCCAATACAGTGACGCAATGGTTTGTCCAATACAGTGACGTAATGGTTTGTCCAACATGCAGTGACACAATGGTTTGTCTAACATACAGTGACACACTGGTTTGTATAACACACAGTGACACACTAGTTTGCCCAACATACAGTGACATAGTGGTTAATTAAACACACAGTGGCACAATGGTTTGTCCAACATATAACGACACAATGGTTTGTCCAATATGCAGTGGCTCAATGGTTTGTCCAACATATACACACTCAATGGTTTGTTAAACATACAGTGACGCAATGGTTTGTCCAACATGCAGTGACGCAATGCTTTGTCCAACATGCAGTGACGCAATGGTTTGTCCAATATGCAGTGGTTCAATGGTTTGTCCAACATACAGTGACACAATGGTTTGTCCAACATACAGTGGTACAATGGTTTGTCCAACATACAGTGACACAATGGTTTGTCCAACGTGCGGTGACACAATAGGTTTGTCCAACATTCGGCGACACAGTGGTTGGTTTAGCGTCCACTGATATATTGAAGACTAGGTCGAAAATTATCAATGATGGTACCTGACCACAGGGCTGGTGGGATCTCCTTGTGAGCTGGCCGATGACCGGATGCTGGAGAAGTGGTCGTAACCCTTGGCCCCTCTGACAGTGAAGGTCTGAGACAACAGGTAGTCCCACACGGACGGCTGGGGTTTGCTCACGATCCGAAGGCGGCGTTTTCTGGGAACAAGGAAGTCGTTCGTTTTTTCGAACATTGAAATTAGGAGTTATCACCTAAACACTGACATGTATATGTCCGTCAACCAATCAATAGACCAATCAAACAATCATTCAATCGATCAATCAATCGACCAATCAGTCTATCCTCTAGTCAAGTAAGCATCATCCTCATTGACTTCATCTGTAATGATTGTGCACAATCATGTTTTTGCCTTTGCTGTTGTCATACGCTGACGGGCCAGGTTTCTATATCACCTCACTGTACCTCTCTCAACACTGCAGACTGGACTGGTCACTGAGATCCTCTATCTACCTCTCTCAACACAGCAGACTGGACTGGTCACTGAGATCCTCTATCTACCTCTCTCAACACTGCAGACTGGACTGGTCACTGAGATCCTCTATCTATCTCTCTCAACACTACAGACTGGACTGGTCACTGAGATCCTCTATCTACCTCTCTCAACACTACAGACTGGACTGGTCACTGAGATCCTCTATCTACCTCTCTCAACACTGCAGACTGGACTGGTCACTGAGATCCTCTATCTACCTCTCTCAACACAGCAGACTGGACTGGTCACTGAGATCCTCTATCTACCTCTCTCAACACTACAGACTGGACTGGTCACTGGGATCCTCTATCTACCTCTCTCAACACTGCAGACTGGACTGGTCACTGAGATCTTCTATCTACCTCTCTCAACACTGCAGACTGGACTGGTCACTGGGATCCTCTATCTACCTCTCTCAACACTGCAGACTGGACTGGTCACTGGGATCCTCTATCTGCCTCTCTCAACACTACAGACTGGACTGGTCACTGAGATCCTCTATCTACCTCTCTCAACACTACAGACTGGACTGGTCACTGGGATCCTCTATCTACCTCTCTCAACACTGCAGACTGGACTGGTCACTGAGATCCTCTATCTACCTCTCTCAACACTGCAGACTGGACTGGTCACTGGGATCCTCTATCTACCTCTCTCAACACAGCAGACTGGACTGGTCACTGAGATCCTCTATCTACCTCTCTCAACACTACAGACTGGACTGGTCACTGGGATCCTCTATCTACCTCTCTCAACACTGCAGACTGGACTGGTCACTGAGATCCTCTATCTACCTCTCTCAACACTACAGACTGGACTGGTCACTGGGATCCTCTATCTACCTCTCTCAACACTGCAGACTGGACTGGTCACTGAGATCCTCTATCTACCTCTCTCAACACTACAGACTGGACTGGTCACTGGGATCCTCTATCTACCTCTCTCAACACTGCAGACTGGACTGGTCACTGGGATCCTCTATCTACCTCTCTCAACACTGCAGACTGGACTGGTCACTGGGATCCTCTATCTACCTCTCTCAACGCTACAGACTGGACTGGTCACTGAGATCCTCTATCTACCTCTCTCAACACTACAGACTGGACTGGTCACTGAGATCCTCTATCTACCTCTCTCAACACTACAGACTGGACTGGTCACTGAGATCCTCTATCTACCTCTCTCAACACTGCAGACTGGACTGGTCACTGGGATCCTCTATCTACCTCTCTCAACGCTACAGACTGGACTGGTCACTGAGATCCTCTATCTACCTCTCTCAACACTACAGACTGGACTGGTCACTGGGATCCTCTATCTACCTCTCTCAACACTGCAGACTGGACTGGTCACTGGGATCCTCTATCTACCTCTCTCAACACTGCAGACTGGACTGGTCACTGGGATCCTCTATCTACCTCTCTCAACGCTACAGACTGGACTGGTCACTGAGATCCTCTATCTACCTCTCTCAACACTGCAGACTGGACTGGTCACTGGGATCCTCTATCTACCTCTCTCAACGCTACAGACTGGACTGGTCACTGAGATCCTCTATCTACCTCTCTCAACACTACAGACTGGACTGGTCACTGAGATCCTCTATCTACCTCTCTCAACACTACAGACTGGACTGGTCACTGAGATCCTCTATCTACCTCTCTCAACACTGCAGACTGGACTGGTCACTGGGATCCTCTATCTACCTCTCTCAACGCTACAGACTGGACTGGTCACTGAGATCCTCTATCTACCTCTCTCAACACTACAGACTGGACTGGTCACTGGGATCCTCTATCTACCTCTCTCAACACTGCAGACTGGACTGGTCACTGGGATCCTCTATCTACCTCTCTGAACACTGCAGACTGGACTGGTCACTGGGATCCTCTATCTACCTCTCTCAACGCTACAGACTGGACTGGTCACTGAGATCCTCTATCTACCTCTCTCAACACTGCAGACTGGACTGGTCACTGGGATCCTCTATCTACCTCTCTCAACGCTACAGACTGGACTGGTCACTGAGATCCTCTATCTACCTCTCTCAACACTACAGACTGGACTGGTCACTGAGATCCTCTATCTACCTCTCTCAACACTGCAGACTGGACTGGTCACTGAGATCCTCTATCTACCTCTCTCAACACTACAGACTGGACTGGTCACTGGGATCCTCTATCTACCTCTCTCAACACTGCAGACTGGACTGGTCACTGGGATCCTCTATCTACCTCTCTCAACGCTACAGACTGGACTGGTCACTGAGATCCTCTATCTACCTCTCTCAACACTACAGACTGGACTGGTCACTGAGATCTTCTATCTACCTCTCTCAACACTGCAGACTGGACTGGTCACTGGGATCCTCTATCTACCTCTCTCAACACTACAGACTGGACTGGTCACTGGGATCCTCTATCTACCTCTCTCAACACTACAGACTGGACTGGTCACTGGGATCCTCTATCTACCTCTCTCAACACTACAGACTGGACTGGTCACTGGGATCCTCTATCTACCTCTCTCAACACTACAGACTGGACTGGTCACTGGGATCCTCTATCTACCTCTCTCAACACTACAGACTGGACTGGTCACTGGGATCCTCTATCTACCTCTCTCAACACTACAGACTGGACTGGTCACTGGGATCCTCTATCTACCTCTCTCAACACTACAGACTGGACTGGTCACTGGGATCCTCTATCTACCTCTCTCAACACTGCAGACTGGACTGGTCACTGGGATCCTCTATCTACCTCTCTCAACGCTACAGACTGGACTGGTCACTGAGATCCTCTATCTACCTCTCTCAACACTGCAGACTGGACTGGTCACTGGGATCCTCTATCTACCTCTCTGAACACTGCAGACTGGACTGGTCACTGGGATCCTCTATCTACCTCTCTCAACGCTACAGACTGGACTGGTCACTGAGATCCTCTATCTACCTCTCTCAACACTGCAGACTGGACTGGTCACTGGGATCCTCTATCTACCTCTCTCAACGCTACAGACTGGACTGGTCACTGAGATCCTCTATCTACCTCTCTCAACACTACAGACTGGACTGGTCACTGAGATCCTCTATCTACCTCTCTCAACACTGCAGACTGGACTGGTCACTGAGATCCTCTATCTACCTCTCTCAACACTACAGACTGGACTGGTCACTGGGATCCTCTATCTACCTCTCTCAACACTGCAGACTGGACTGGTCACTGGGATCCTCTATCTACCTCTCTCAACGCTACAGACTGGACTGGTCACTGAGATCCTCTATCTACCTCTCTCAACACTACAGACTGGACTGGTCACTGAGATCTTCTATCTACCTCTCTCAACACTGCAGACTGGACTGGTCACTGGGATCCTCTATCTACCTCTCTCAACACTACAGACTGGACTGGTCACTGGGATCCTCTATCTACCTCTCTCAACACTACAGACTGGACTGGTCACTGGGATCCTCTATCTACCTCTCTCAACACTACAGACTGGACTGGTCACTGGGATCCTCTATCTACCTCTCTCAACACTACAGACTGGACTGGTCACTGGGATCCTCTATCTACCTCTCTCAACACTACAGACTGGACTGGTCACTGGGATCCTCTATCTACCTCTCTCAACACTACAGACTGGACTGGTCACTGGGATCCTCTATCTACCTCTCTCAACGCTACAGACTGGACTGGTCACTGGGATCCTCTATCTACCTCTCTCAACACTACAGACTGGACTGGTCACTGGGATCCTCTATCTACCTCTCTCAACACTGCAGACTGGACTGGTCACTGGGATCCTCTATCTACCTCTCTCAACACTACAGACTGGACTGGTCACTGGGATCCTCTATCTACCTCTCTCAACACTGCAGACTGGACTGGTCACTGGGATCCTCTATCTACCTCTCTCAACACTACAGACTGGACTGGTCACTGGGATCCTCTATCTACCTCTCTCAACACTACAGACTGGACTGGTCACTGGGATCCTCTATCTACCTCTCTCAACACTACAGACTGGACTGGTCACTGGGATCCTCTATCTACCTCTCTCAACACTGCAGACTGGACTGGTCACTGGGATCCTCTATCTACCTCTCTCAACACTACAGACTGGACTGGTCCCTGGGATCCTCTATCTACCTCTCTCAACACTGCAGACTGGACTGGTCACTGGGATCCTCTATCTACCTCTCTCAACACTGCAGACTGGACTGGTCACTGGGATCCTCTATCTACCTCTCTCAACACTACAGACTGGACTGGTCACTGGGATCCTCTATCTACCTCTCTCAACACTACAGACTGGACTGGTCACTGGGATCCTCTATCTACCTCTCTCAACACTGCAGACTGGACTGGTCACTGGGATCCTCTATCTACCTCTCTCAACACTACAGACTGGACTGGTCACTGGGATCCTCTATCTACCTCTCTCAACGCTACAGACTGGACTGGTCACTGGGATCCTCTATCTACCTCTCTCAACACTACAGACTGGACTGGTCACTGAGATCTTCTATCTACCTCTCTCAACGCTACAGACTGGACTGGTCACTGGGATCCTCTATCTACCTCTCTCAACGCTACAGACTGGACTGGTCACTGAGATCTTCTATCTACCTCTCTCAACGCTACAGACTGGACTGGTCACTGGGATCCTCTATCTACCTCTCTCAACACTACAGACTGGACTGGTCACTGAGATCTTCTATCTACCTCTCTCAACGCTACAGACTGGACTGGTCACTGGGATCCTCTATCTACCTCTCTCAACACTACAGACTGGACTGGTCACTGAGATCTTCTATCTACCTCTCTCAACGCTACAGACTGGACTGGTCACTGAGATCTTCTATCTACCTCTCTCAACGCTACAGACTGGACTGGTCACTGGGATCCTCTATCTATCTCCGATTCTGCAAATTTAGAAATATATCACATAAAGCACGGGCCCTAAAGGACAGAACAATAACAGCGTTATATATACCGACCCCAGTAGAGGTTAAACAACATATATATATACCGACCCCAGTAGAGGTTAAACACCATATATATATATACCGACCCCAGTAGAGGTTAAACACCATATATATATATACCGACCCCAGTAGAGGTTAAACAACACATGTATATACCGACCCCAGTAGAGGTTAAACAACACATGTATATACCGACCCCAGTAGAGGTTAAACAACATATATATATACCGACCCCAGTAGAGGTTAAACAACATATATATACCGACCCCAGTAGAGGTTAAACAACATATATACACCGACCCCAGTAGAATTTATACAACACACATGTATCGACCCCAGTAGAAGTTAAAAAACACACATATACCGACCCCAAGTAGAACCTAATTAACATCCATACCTACCCCAGGAAAAGATAAACCAGAGATGCATACCGACCCCAGGAAAAGATGAAACAGGGTTACACACAGACCCCAGGAGAAGATGAACCATAGATACATACCGACGACCCTAGTAGAAGATGAACCAGAGATGCATATCGACCCCAGGAAAAGATGAACCAGTGTTACACACAGACCCCAGTAGAAGATAAACCAGAGATACATACAGACCCCAGTAGAAGATAAACCAGAGATACACACAGACCCCAGTAGAAGATAAACCAGAGATACATACAGACCCCAGTAGAAGACGAAGCTGAGATACATGTCGACCCCAGTAGAAGATGAACCAGAGTTACACACAGACCCCAGTAGAAGATGAACCAGAGATACATACAGACCCCAGTAGAAGATAAACCAGAGATACATACAGACCCCAGTAGAAGACGAAGCTGAGATACATGTCGACCCCAGTAGAAGATAACCAGAGATACATACCGACCCTAGTAGAAGATAAACCAGAGATACATACAGACCCCAGTAGAAGATGAACCAGAGATACATACAGACCCCAGTAGAAGATGAACCAGAGATACATACAGACCCCAGTAGAAGATGAACCAGAGATACATACAGACCCCAGTAGAAGATAACTAGAGATACATACCGACCCCAGTAGAAGATAACTAGAGATACATACCGACCCCAGTAGAAGATGAACACAACGAAGGTGAAGACCATGCCCAGACATCCTCCCACAATGGCACCGATCATGGCATCACTCACTGGAAGATACAATTGAGCATGGTCAACTTCAATCTGTGATTGTCTTGTTGTGATGACTGATGTCGCGGCGGACGCCGTAACCACAGTCTGTCTAGGTAGCAGACGGACAGTTGTAAGAAAGTAGATGCCTACCTAGCCGGGATCATTGCATGGAAACAAGTATGTTGCAGCGGGGACTGTCTGAGGGCGGTTGGCGCCACTGGAGGGTCGCGGTTCACCAGATGACAACGGACACCATCAGCCTTGAGACTTTGAGGGAGACGAGACAGAAAGAAAAAACTAGTCCTGGATGCTGTTATGTCAATTATATACCCAGGCGAACGCAGATCATAGAGGTCACACACGAGAATGGTTAGGAACAATGATCTGCATCCTGGTGATATTGACCGTTTGGTGCCCTGTCAACCATCGACTGAAAGACTGATGCTGGCAGTTTTCTCATTGGCCAGAACTGGCTATAGACTGCATTAGACTGCGAATCGGTGCTCGTGTGATCTTGTGTGTGTGTGTGTGTGTGTGTGTGTGTGTGTGTGTCTGTGTGTGTGTATGTGAACGTAGGCAACAACACAGTTACTAATTATGTCCATTCCATAACTATGTTGTATTACAGTGCCAACTTGACCATCTACCTGTTTCCATACAATGATCCCAGCTAGTGCCATGTGTGATTACCAAACATTGGCCATACACAGAATATACCCCTTTCATGTCACAAACAGTATATATTTCTTTGTCTGCCTTTATCGGTTGTTGTGAGCAGTACTATACTGGCATATTCTTTTTTTCTTTTGATGATAAAGCCCATGCTCGGCTGACTTCAAGTCACTTGCTAACCGTTGTCGGGAGGCCCTAATATAACCTGATGGTTGAAAAGCAGCTTTGGGGACTTGGGCCTGGGAGGTTTCTCATCGAAATGTTGGTACTTTGTGTCATCAAGTGTTAATGGCTCATTGGGTTAGTTCGACTTTAGTCTTCCCAAATAGAGTAGGTCACTTTTCATTCACAAGTTTGTTGGGCTGGTAGACTTCCCTGAAGGTTACGGGTGTGTCCCTCTCTGTTGTTTGGTTTCTGTGATGTCTTGCATTTGCGTTTTCATTTCGATAAAGAGAATGCCCGTGACATAGGTTGAAGCCCTTTTTGGGGGGGGGGGGGGGGGGGGGGGGGGGCTAAGGGTCACTCACTGACTCCGACAAAGAGCAAGGCAGGCCTGTGTCCATTTACAGCCAAACCACAGATGGCGACTCACAAGGTCAAGGTTATGATTCGGTGGCCTTGTGGTTGTGGTCACAGATGATTGGTGTAAACGTTTGTCACGTGACAAACAGGTCGGCAGGACTGGAGAAAGCAAAGAGGTCAGTTGTAAAAATAATGATGAACATACAAATATTGAAGTCATGACAATATCAATATAAAGAAAAATAATTAGGCAGAATACACAACAATGTACACAAAAATAATGATGTAGTTAAACATGTTGAAGCATACAAAAATATTGAAGTCGATTTAAATACAGATTTAGAATGTAATAGAAATGCACGTTGAAATTATTGATGGAAATACGGAAGTCGAGATGCAAACTTGATGTAGATTAAAATATGGATGTAGATGAAAATGTTGAGTTAAATGAAAATGTGGATGTAGATGAAAATGTTGAGTTAAATGAAAATGTGGATGTAGATGAAAATGTGGATGTAGATAAAAATGTTGAGTTAGATGAAAATGAACGATGTTAAGGGGAGTTCGGGAGCCGCCCTGTCTGGCAGGGAACCGGAAGTGCTACAGATGTAGCCAGGCCGTGATCCTTCAGCTGTAGATGAACAATCAAATCAGACATTGGTTACTGGAACCTGCAATGCGAGGACATTCATGCAAATAAGTTAATTGGAAAACACCAAGAGCAAAATAAACAGAAAGCATGTAAACATTATGGGAACTCAGTGAAACAGGCAAACAGTCAAACTGGGAACAAATGAAACATAACACCGGGAAAAGGATGTGGGTATTTAGATAACTATTTAACAATTTACTAAGAAGAACAGAAACAGGAAAACGATGTCTGCAAATTTAGGACAGAAAAAAAAAAAAAAAATAGCAGAAAAATAAATATATATATAAGACAGTATCAAGTCGTATTTCGTTAACCAGATTAAATGAGTAATTAGCAGATGTTAACATCATCCATTCAATGGGCCGACTGTTGAAGTCAACATCACACTAGTTAGTGCTCCGACAGCGGATGTTAACATCACAATAGTCTGTGCACCGACGGCAGATAGTAACGTCATCTATTGAGTGCACCGACGCCAGATGCTGACATTATATCAGCCCCTGCACCGACGGCAGATGTTAACATCACACCAATCAGTGGACCGACGTTCAATGCTAACATAATCCAGTCGGTGCACCGAATGCAGTTGTGAAACATCATACTAGTCAGTGCATCGATCACAGACAGCAAGAAATAGAAATGTGACAAAATGGCCATGTCTGTAGCACCATGTAAAAGTGGGAATTAGTTTAGTGCTCTATGATTTCAATGCAACGGTTGGACAACTGAAGGGTGAATATATTATCTATAGTTTTGACATGAGAGAGAGAGAGAGAGAGAGAGAGAGAGAGAGAGAGAGAGAGAGAGAGAGAGAGAGAGAGAGAGAGAGAGAGAGGAGAGAGAGAGAGAGAGAGGGGGGGGGGGGGTAAAGAGAACTGAAAAGGCCAGAGCGTATAAACCAATAATTTGAAACAGAAACTTTTATGATCACCCTTTAATCATTTTGACTTGCGTAAGCCCAGGGAAACCAGTCTGTTAAAAACAGCTTGCTCTCGGAAAGGGGGAGCAGGGGTCAGGACCAGGTGTAGACTCTAATACTGACCAAGTGCCAGTAACTAAAATAAAAACACAGTCTAGAATTGCATTTCAGAAATTAAAAATCGAAGTTATAAGACACGTATGAAGCAAATGGATACGATTAGGTACTTGGGATACCCGGATAACAGCAGATGGGAGATGAATTAGGTACTTGGGATACCCGGATAACAGGAGATGGGAGATGAATTTGATACTTGGGTACCCGGATAACAGCAGATGGGAGATGAATTAGGTACTTGGGATACCCGGATAACAGCAGATGGGAGATGAATTAGGTACTTAAGATACCCGGATAACAGCAGATGGGAGATGAATTAGGTACTTGGGAGACCCGGATAACAGCAGATGGGAGATGAGTTAGGTACTTGGGATACCCGGATAACAGCAGATGGGAGATGAGTTAGGTACTTGGGATACCCGGATAACAGTAGATGGGAGATGAATTAGGTACTTGGGAGACCCGGATAACAGCAGATGGGAGATGAGTTAGGTACTTGGGATACCCGGATAACAGTAGATGGGAGATGAATTAGGTACTTGGGATACCCGGATAACAGCAGATGGGAGATGAGTTAGTACTTGGGATACCCGGATAACAGTAGATGGGAGATGAGTTAGGTACTTGGGATACCCGGATAACAGCAGATGGGAGATGAGTTAGGTACTTGGGATACCTGGATAACAGTAGATGGGAGATGAATTAGGTACTTTGGATACCCGGATAACAGCAGATGGGAGATGAGTTAGGTACTTGGGACACCCGGATAACAGTAGATGGGAGATGAGTTAGGTACTTGGGATACCCGGATAACAGCAGATGGGAGATGAGTTAGGTACTTGGGACACCCGGATAACAGCAGATGGGAGATGAGTTAGGTACTTGGGATACCCGGATAACAGTAGATGGGAGATGAGTTAGGTACTTGGGATACCCGGATAACAGCAGATGGGAGATGAATTAGGTACTTGGGATACCCGGATAACAGCAGATGGGAGATGAATTAGGTACTTGGGAGACCCGGATAACAGCAGATGGGAGATGAGTTAGGTACTTGGGATACCCGGATAACAGCAGATGGGAGATGAATTTGGGAAGTTAAATGTATAACAGCTCAAGCAAAGGTAGCAAAGACTTTTTAAGAGCTTTATTGAATCAATCGTGATATATGAAAGTGTATCAAGAACCTTTACCCGATTAGTGATATATTATGTGGAAGTGAATCAAGAACCTTGAGCCGAAAATTGATATATTATGTGGAAGTGAATCAAGAACCTTGAGCCGAAAATTGATATATTATGTGGAAGTGAATCAAGAACCTTTACCCGATTAGTGATATATTATGTGGAAGTGAATCAAGAACCTTGAGCCGAAAATTGATATATTATGTGGAAGTGAATCAAGAACCTTGAGCCGAAAATTGATATATTATGTGAGAGTGAATCAAGAACCTTGAGCCGAAAATTGATATATTATGTGGGAGTGAATCAAGAACCTTAGGCCGATTAGTGATATATTATGTGGAAGTGAATCAAGAACCTTGAGCCGAAAATTGACATATTATGTGGGAGTGAATCAAGAACCTTAGGCCGATTAGTGATATATTATGTGGGAGTGAAATTATGTGAGCAGAAGTGAAAGCACGTGAGACAAAAGTACGCGAGATAGAAGTTAAAGTACGCGAGATAGAAGTGAAAGCACGCGAGACATAAGTAAAAGTATGCGAGATAGAAGACAAAGCATGGAAGAAGTGAAAGTACGCCGGACAAAAGTGAAATTATGCGAGACAGAAGTGAAAGTACATGAAACAGAGGTGAAAGTAGGTGAGACAGAAATAAAAGTAGGCGAGACAGAAATGAAAGTAGGCGAGACAGAAATGAAAGTAGGTGAGACAGAAATAAAAGTAGGTGAGACAGAAATAAAAGTAGGCGAGACAGAAATGAAGGTAGGCGAGACAGAAATAAAAGTAGGCGAGACAGAAATAAAAGTAGGTGAGACAGAAATAAAAGTAGGCGAGACAGAAATGAAGGTAGGCGAGACAGAAATGAAGGTAGGTGAGACAGAAATGAAGGTAGGTGAGACAGAAATAAAAGTAGGCGAGACAGAAATAAAAGTAGGCGAGACAGAAATGAAGGTAGGCGAGACAGAAATAAAAGTAGGTGAGACAGAAATAAAAGTATGTGAGACAGAAATGAAGGTAGGTGAGACAGAAATAAAAGTAGGTGAGACAGAAATAAAAGTAGGCGAGACAGAAATGAAGGTAGGCGAGACAGAAATGAAGGTAGGCCAGACAGAAATGAAGGTAGGCGAGACAGAAATGAAGGTAGGCGAGACAGAAATGAAGGTAGGTGAGACAGAAATAAAAGTAGGCGAGACAGAAATGAAAGTAGGTGAGACAGAAATAAAAGTAGGCGAGACAGAAATGAAAGTAGGTGAGACAGAAATAAAAGTAGGCGAGACAGAAATGAAGGTAGGCGAGACAGAAATGAAGGTAGGCGAGACAGAAGGCTGTGGTCAACGCCACCCAGCACGCTTTTCAGTAAGAAGATGGACATATACTGTTTGGAGCGACGTTACTTACGCTCCTCGTTATCTTGAGGTGACCTGGTGTGTCCAGATTGTACAGCGGCGGACGAGGTCTTCCCTCGGACAACTCCTGAGGTTGTGTTTACCGCCACTGACGTGCTGGCCGACGTGGTTGTGATGTCAGGATTTGTTGTTGTCACAGTTGTGGTTGTTTCTGTTGTTGATGTTGTTGTAGACACTGATGATGTTCGTGGTTGTGTGGATGCTGTGGTGGTTATCTGCACGTTGTCTGAAACAGTTGACAAGACAGGAGGAAATGATCAACAGTCATCACGGCTTCAGACAAGCATTGATTAGTACTGACAGTATTAGAGACAGATAGAACACAGTACTACAAGGACAAGTTACTACAGGAATACACTACAACACCAATGTAGTACTACAAGGACAAGTTACTACAGGAATACACTACAACACCAATGTAGTACTACAAGGACAAGTTACTACAGGAATACACTACAACACCAATGTAGTGCTACAAGGACAAGTTACTACAGGAATACACTACAACACCAATGTAGTGCTACAAGGACAAGTTACTACAGAAATACACTACAACACCAATGTAGTGCTACAAGGACAAGTCACTACAGGAATACACTACAACACCAATGTAGTGCTACAAGGACAAGTCACTACAGGAATACACTACAACACCAATGTAGTGCTACAAGGACAAGTCACTACAGGAATACACTACAACACCAATGTAGTGCTACAAGGACAAGTCACTACAGGAATACACTACAACACCAATGTAGTGCTACAAGGACAAGTTACTACAGGAATACACTACAACACCAATGTAGTACTACAAGGACAAGTTACTACAGGAATACACTACAACACCAATGTAGTACTACAAGGACAAGTTACTACAGGAATACACTACAACAACAATGTAGTACTACAAGGACAAGTTACTACAGGAATACACAACATCAATGTAGTACTACAAGATATAGTACCAATACAATAGAGTATAACACAAGTACATCACTACTGGGAACAAGACTGCAGAGAGAAAGTACCACACTATTGGGTACAACACTTCAGAGAGACAGTACCACACTATTGGGTACAGCATTTCAGAGAGACAGTATAACACTGTTGGATGCAAAACTTCACAGAGACAGTATCCCACTGTTGGGTACAACACTTCAGAGAGACATTATCACACTGTTGGGTACAACAATTCAGAGAGACAGTATCACACTTTTAGGTACAACACTTCAGAGAGACGGCATCACACTATTGGATACAATACTTCATAAAGTCAGTATCACACTATTGGGTACAACACTTCAGAGAGACACTATCACACTGTTGGGTACAACACATCAGAGAGACAGTATCACACTGTTGGGTAGAACACTTCAGAGAGACAGTATCACACTGTTGGGTACAACACATCAGAGAGACAGTATCACACTGTTGGGTATAACACATCAGAGAAACAGTATCCCACTGTTGGGTACAACACATTAGAGAGACAGTATCACACTGTTGGGTACAACACTTCAGAGAGACAGTATCACACTGTTGGGTACACACTTCAGAGAGACGGTACTTTAAGGATAGAGTACTACACGGACAGTGTACAAAGGGCACACAGTACATATGTGTTACTTGCAACTAGTCTGACATAGATATTCCCACTAATGTTGACACTGACATTGATATTCCCACTAATGTTGACACTGACATTGATATTCCCACTAATGTTGACACTGACATTGATATTCCCACTAATGTTGACACTGACATTGATATTCCCAATTATGTTGACACTGACATTGATATTCCCACTAATGTTGACACTGACATTAATATTCCCAATTATATTGACACTGACATTGATATTCCCACTAATGTTGACACTGACATTGATATTCCCAATTATGTTGACACTGACATTGATATTCCCACTAATGTTGACACTGACATTGATATTCCCACTAATGTTGACACTGACATTGATATTCCCACTAATGTTGACACTGACATTGATATTCCCACTAATGTTTGAACTGACATTGATATTCCCACTAAAGTTGACACTGACATTGATATTCCCAATTATGTTGACACTGACATTGATATTCCCACTAATGTTGACACTGACATTAATATTCCCAATTATGTTGACACTGACATTGATATTCCCACTAATGTTGACACTGACATTGATATTCCCAATAATGTTGACACTGACATTGATATTCCCACTAATGTTGACACTGACATTGATATTCCCACTAATGTTGACACTGACATTGATATTCCCACTAATGTTGACACTGACATTGATATTCCCACTAATGTTGACACTGACATTGATATTCCCACTAATGTTGACACTGACATTGATATTCCCACTAATGTTGACACTGACATTGATATTCCCACTAATGTTGACACTGACATTGATATTCCCACTAATGTTGACACTGGCATTGATATTCCCACTAATGTTGACGCTGACAATGATATTCCCACTAATGTTGACACTGACATTGATATTCCCAATTATGTTGACACTGACATTGATATTCCCACTAATGTTGACACTGACATTGATATACCCACTAATTTTGACATTGATATTCCCACTAATGTTGACACTGACATTGATATTCCCACTAATGTTGACACTGACATTGATATTTTCACTTATGTTGACACTGACATTGATATTCCCAATTATTTTGACACTGACATTGATATTCTCACTAATGTTGACACTGACATTGATATTCCCAATTATGTTGACACTGACATTGATATTCCCACTAATGTTGACACTGACATTGATATTCCCACTAATGTTGACACTGACATTGATATTCCCACTAATGTTGACACTGACATTGATATTCCCACTAATGTTGACACTGACATTGATATTCCCACTAATGTTGACACTGACATTGATATTCCCACTAATGTTGACACTGACATTGATATTCCCACTAATGTTGACACTGACATTGATATTCCCACTAATGTTGACACTGACATTGATATTCCCACTAATGTTGACACTGACATTGATATTCCCACTAATGTTGACACTGACATTGATATTCCCACTAATGTTGACACTGACATTGATATTCCCAATTATGTTGACACTGACATTGATATTCCCACTAATGTTGACACTGACATTGATATTCCCAATTATGTTGACACTGACATTCATATTTCCACTAATGTTGACACTGACATTGATATTCTCACTAATGTTGACACTGACATTGATATTCCCACTAATGT